GAGCGCACCGCACACTCTAGCCTGGGCAACAGAGTGAGACTTCAACCCCCCAAAAAAAAAGGTCAGACAAGGCTTCTCCTAGGAGGTATTCACCAAAAGATGAATAGGTGTTAGCTTTGCAAGGAGTTAAGGGACCACTATTCCATCTGCAAGGGAAGAGCTTGGTGTCATCAAGCTACAGAAAGAAGAACAAAGAAGCTGGTACCAGAGCATCCTGGGAAATAATGGGGATGTGTCAGAGTCCCCATCATGACTTATCTAGATTCTGAGGTTCTAGACCAGGGGTCGGAAAACTACAGCCATACACCAAATACATCCTGCCACTTGTTTCTGTAAAGTTTTGTTGGAACACAGGCACACTCATTTACTTACTAATGTCTGAGACTGCTTTCCTGCTGCAATGGCAGAGGTCCGTGGTTGTGATAGAGACCGTGTGGCAATATAATGAGACCCTGTCTCTACAAAAACCAAAAACTAAAAGAATCAAAAACTGGGTGTGGCGGCATGCACCTGTAGTCCCAGCTACTCAGGAGGCTTAGGTGGGAGGATCACTTGAACCCAGGAATTCAAATACAACCTGGGCAGCATAGCAAGACTCCATCTCTATAAAAAGAAAATTTTTAAAAAGATAACAATTAGGTGAGCATGGTGGTGCACATCTGTAGCCCCAGCTACTTGGGAGACTGAGATGGGAGGATTGCTTGCACCCAGGAGTTTGAGACTGCAGTGAGCTTTGATCACACCACTGCATTCTGGCTTGGGCAACAAAATGAGATACTATCTCTTAAGAGAAAAAAAAAGGCAGGTAAGGCTGGAAGAGACTAGACTGTTGATCCAGGATGAGATGGAACATGCAAGAGATGAAAGACGCTGACTGAGAGCAGTTTGGGAGACATGAGGGCATCATGGGGCAGCTGAGGTTGGGTGGTTCAGGAAAACAAAGTTCAGAACATGGGGATTCTGCAGAGCCTGGGGCTTACTGCACCATAGGGCAGAGCAGGGCAGTCCTGGTCATCCACTGAGCTGCTGATCCATTTGTCCCATGTCCATCATGCCCTTGGCCATCTAGAACAAATGTGGCGACTGCCCCCCCATCTCTATTTTCATTCACCTCCACTTTGCCACGCGGGTACCAGGAGGGGAGAGGGGGGCTTTTGGGGAATGATATCCTCACCATGGGAGGCGGCCAACTAGTCCCAAAGGTCAGGGGTGGATGACTAAATGCCCTTCCTTGGTCCTTGGCAGATGTGAGTGCATCTACTCCAGGGAGACCCCTTCTGAGTGGCCTGTGCCCAGTGCATCAAGATGGAACAGAAAGAGATGGATATAAATTATCTGTCTATGCACCACACATCACCCATTTGATCACTATGCAACATGTTCTTATAACATTTTTTCCCCCTCTAATTTTTATTTTTTAGAGTCAGAGTTTCACTCTGTTGCCCAGGCTGGAGTGCAGTGGCATGATCACAGCTCACCGCAGCCTTGACCTCCTGGTTTCAGATCATCCTTCTGCCTCAGCCTCCCAAGTAGCTGGGAGTACAGGTGTGCACCACCATGCCTGGCTAATTTTCTTAATTTTTTTTTAGATACTAGGTTTCACTATGTTGCCCAGGCTAGTCTTGAACTCTTGGTCTCAGGCGATCTTCCTGCCTCAGTCTCCCAAAATGCTGGGATTACAGACATGAGCCACTTTGCCTGGCCCCTTCTAATTTTTTTTTTCTTTTTTTTTTTTTGAGTTGGAGTCTCACTGTCGCCCAGACTGGAGTGCAGTGGCCGCTCCCGGGCCACCGCAGCCTCGACTGCTGGACTCGGCAATCCTTCCGCCTCAGCCTTCCAAGTAGCTGGAACTACAGGCGCATGCTACCACGCCCAGCTAATTTTTTTTTTTATTTATCGTAGAGATGAGGTCTCACCTGCCCAGGCGGGTCTCGAACCCACAGGCTTACTCACCTCAACCTCCCAAAGGCGCGGGATTACAGGCTGAGCCGCTGAGCCACCGAGCCCGGTGGCCCCTTCTAATTTAAACACATCACATGCTCAGTATAAAAAAAAATTTTTTTGGAAAAAGAAAAACACAAGGAGAATAAAAGTATTTTTTGCATTCTCCATTATTTCTACTTATAACAGTAATGAGTATTTCTCTGGGTCAAAAGATATCCTTCACTAGGATGATTTCTTTTTTAACTTTCATTTTTAAAATAATTTTAGAATTAAAGAAAAATTGCAAACGTAATACTGGGGGTTCCATATATCCTTCTACCATCTTCCCCTAATGCTAGCATCTGATAAAACCATAGCTCAATTAGCAAAGCCTAGGAATTAACATCAATACTTTTACTTTTTTTTTTGAGTTGAAATCTCATGCTGTCACCCAGGCTGGAGTGCAGTGGCACAATCATGGCTCAAACTCCTGGGCTCAAGGGATCCTTTCACCTCAGCCTCCCGAGTAACTGGAACTACTCGGTGCCACGTACCACCATGCCTGGCTAATTTATTTATTTTTGTAGAGACAAGGTCTCACTATGTTGCCTAGGCTGGTCTCAAACTCCTGAGCTCAAGCCATCCTCCCTCCTCAGCCTCCCAAGGTGCTGGGATTGTAGGCATGCACTACTACCCAGCAATACTATTACTATTAACTAAGCTGCAGGCTGCATTCAGACTTAGACAACTGCCCCACTGATATCTCTTTCCTAGTCCAGCACAGAATACAAGATCTCATGTTGCATTTATGTGTCACATCTCCTTAATCCTCTCCAATCTGACAATTCCTTGGTCTTTTCTTTGTCTTTCATGTTCTTGACACTTTTGGAGAATGTGGGGGCAGTGCTTTTGTAGACTGTCCCTCAATTTGGATTGGTCTCTTGTTTTCTCGTGATTAGATTGAAGTTAGGAGTTTGGGGCCAAATTACCACAGAAGCGATAACTGCATCCTTCTCAGGGGTTCAAGATGTCAGCATGACTTCTTTCTGAGGATGTTGATCTTGGCCACTTGATAAACGTGACGTGTGTCTGGTTTCTTCACCATATAGTTGCTAGTTTTCAGGGTAATTTTTAAATGGTTGTCTGGCTCCCCAATATAGGTCTCTAACACAATCAGACCCTCTTTTTGTACATTGAGTTTATTTTTTTTACTGTTACAAAGAATGCCACAGTGTCCATTGCTACTGGTATATCTTTGCCCACATCCCTGATTATTTTGTCAGGATAAGTCGCTAGAAGTAGAATTGTTGGAAATTTTTATTGTTTTTACAGATACGGATGCCTGGGGCAGGGGTGTGTGTTTGTATGTTTGTTTTAATCTGCTTTATTAAATCATCATTTACACATGATAAAATGCACAGATTTGGAGCATATATTTCAATGGCTTTTGGTAATTGTACATGTCCATGTGTCCCACATCCTAACCAAGATATAAAACATTTCTATCACTTCCCAAAATGTTCCAATGTTCCCCCTTGCAGTCAATTCTCCCTGCCCCTCACCCCAGACAACAACAGGTCTGGTTTCTGTTGCCTCAGGTTAGTGTTACCTATTTTAAGACTTCATATAAACCAGAATTACACAATACATACTTTTTTTTTTTTTGAGTCAGGATCTCACTCTGTCACCCAGGCTGGAGTGCAGTGGCACAGTCATGGCTCTCGGCAGCCTCAACCTCCTGGGTTCAAATGATCCTCCATTTCAGCTTCCGGAGCACCTGGGACTACAGTTGCACGCCTCCAGCTAATTTTTTGATTTTTTTTTTAGAGATAAGATCTCACTATGTTGCCCAGGCTGGTCTCAAACTCCTAGGCTCAAGCAATCTACCTGCCTCAGCCTCCAAAAGTGCTGGGATTACACACACGAGCCTTCGTGACCTGGCCACAATAAATACCCTTTTATGACTGTCTTCTTTGATTCGATATGATGTCTGTGAGATCCACCCATGCTGTCCTGTGTATCAGCCTTTGTTGATTCTTATTGCCAAGTGGCAGCCTATTATATAAATATGCCCTACCGTTTGTTTATCCCTTCTTCCATTGATGGATGTCTGGGCTGTTTCCAGTTTGGGGATTTTATGAATCAAGCTGCTAAAACATGGGCGTACATGGGACATATGTTTTCATTTTTCTTGGGTAAATACCTCCGAGTGGAATTGCTGGGTCATGAGGTTGGTATGTGTTCAACTTTATTAGACACGAAGGGGTGGGATTATTTTCACCTTCATTTTATAGCTCAGACCACCACAAGCTTGAGAGACCTTTCCCAGAGAAAAGAGAGGAAAGGAAATAGGATTTGTCGCCAGGCATAACACTAAATACTTTGCCTGTCTGTCTCAGTTAATCCTCAAAAGAACCCCATAAGGTGGAAATCGTGCTCCCATTTCTATAGATGAGGAAATGGAGGCTCACGAACATGCAGCAAGATAAGATTCAAACCCTACCCAGTGTAAATACCTGAGTCTGTGTTCTTTCACCAGGTATTCATCACCCTGCCTCCTTGGAGACAGCAGGTGACAGAGCTGGGAAGGAATGTGTCATCCCACTCTCAGCCTCCTGGCCTGGCCTTATCTGCGCCCTGTGCCCATTCTGCCTGGAACCCTGAGAGTGATCACCTGTGATGACCAAGTCAGCACTCTAGGGACGAGGGCGGTCTGGGTGCTGGGCAGGGACTGTGCCCCCGCTTTTGACTACGAACCCTCCAAGCCCCAGGAAGGACCCAGGGGGTGGCCCACCCTCCAGCCCTCTGCCAAAGGTGTAGAGTTTCTCCCACCCTGAAATGCGATCCTGGGCACTTCATCTTCTGGGCTGGCGAGTGGCGAGTGAGGCCAGTGACCAGGGCCTGTGTCTCCCTGGCCATATCACAGCCCCATTAGGAGCTGGCCTGAGTGCTTTCCAGAGCTGATGGATGGCCTGCCTGTGACCCGGGACTGTCATTATGCCCGGGCCGGGGCCTCCCAGCTCGGTCCTTGGGGTCTTTACTGCTAATAATAATTGATGCTCTCTGTGTGCTTGCAGGGAAAGTTCTATCTGGTCATTGAGGAACTGAGCCAGCTGTTCCGATCGCTTGTCCCCATCCAGCTGTGGTACAAATACATCATGGGCGACGACTCCTCCAACAGCTACTTCCTGGGAGGGGTCCTGATCGTCCTTTACAGCCTCTGCAAGGTAAGGTGGCCCAGGGTGAGAGAGCTGGCTTGGGCAAGCCCCATCTGCTAGCCAGGCCTGCCGGTCTACTGGGAGCCTGGAATAATCAGGCTAATTTCTTTTTCTTTGTAATTGAGGTGAAATTCACACAACATAAAATTAGCCACTAACCATTTTAAATTGTGCAATTCAGTGGCATTTAGCAGATTCACAGTGTCGTGCAACCACCTCCCCTGTCTAATTCAAGACATTTTCATCACCCCCAAAAGAAACCCTGTACCCGTTAAGCAGTCACTCCCCAGTCTTCCCTCCGCCTTTCCTTCCCCAGCCCCTGGCAACCACGAATCTGCTTTCTGTCTCTATGAATATAGCTCTTCTGGATGTCTGGCTTTTATGTCTGGCTTTTTCACTTAGCATAATATTTTCGAGGTTCATCTACATTGTCGCATGTATCAGTACTTTTTCTGGTGGAATCCACCCTGAGTTCTTGCCTGTGAAGCTCGCCATATGATATTCTTTCATGTAGTCATCTACAGGACAGCTCGTCAAGATACTTACCATAATTGCTGTCATTTTAGAGGTGAAGAAACTGAGGCTCAGGGAGTTGAAGTCACTTGCCCAGGGTCACTCAGAAAGATAGTAGCACAGGCCGAGTGTGGTGGCTGTAATCTCAACACTTTGGGAGGCTGAAGCGAGAGGATTGCTAGAGCCCAGAAAGTCCAGACCAGCCTGGGCAGCATAGCGAGATCTCATCTCTACAGATAAATCTAAAACTTAGCCTGGCATGTTAGCACATGCCTTTAGTCCCAGCTACTCAGGAGGCTGAGGAAGAAGGATCGCCTGAGCCCAGGAGATCAAGGTTGTAGTGAGCCATGATTGTACCCCTGCATTCCAGCCTGGGCAACAGAGTGAGACTCTGACTCAGAAAAAAAGAAAGAAAGAAAGATAACAGAACAAATGTAGAACCCAGGCAGACTGCCTCCAAAGCCCAGAGCTCTTAACCACACTTCACTGAATATGTTTTCTTTTTCTTTTTTTCTTTCTTTTTTTTGAGTCAGAGTTGCGTTCTGTGACCCAGCCAGGAGTACAGTGGCATGCTCACGGCCATCGCAGCCTCGACCTGCTGGGCTCAGGCAATTCTTCTGTCTCAGCCTTCCAAGTAGCTGGAACCACAGGCATGTGCCACCACGCTGGGCTAATTTTTTTAATTTATTGTAGAGATTAGGTCTTGCCATGTGGCCCAGGCTGATCTTGAACCCCTGGGTTCAGGCAATCCTCTTGCGTCGGCCTCCCAAAGTGCTGGAATTACAGGTGTGAGCCACTACGCCTGGCCTGAATTTGTTTTCTATCCTTCTTACCTCCAAAACAGTATCCCTTCACGTTGCATGACCCCAACTCCTCAAATCAGTATGCAGTGCTTTTGTTTTCATTATTAGTCCCAGTCGGGTTTTAGCCCTAAATATAAATACGTTCTTCTCTTTCCTTTTCCTTTTCTATATCTGGCTTTAGAGAATTCTGGGGGAATGCATGTGCTCCTCTTTTTCTTCCTCCCAACAGGACTAGCTGGGAGTCCACACAGTGTCAGCCATTGTGGTTGATTCTGCTTGTTGACTCCGATCGCCACAGTGGCTGAGTGCCGCATTGGGAAGGCTCTGACTGGGCTCAAAGGAAGAATGCTGTAATCAATTAGCAATGCCTGCCCTGGGCTTGGGAGAGGGAAGAGGCAGTATGTGTGCCATGTATTTGCTATCATGGCCTAGGTAGCAGGGGAGACTCGATATCAGACAAAAGGCAAGCAAAACTGATGGGAATGAGGAGCTGCAAATGAGAAGAAGAGTCCCGAAAATGTTCTGGGTCAAAGAGAGGGGTAAGGGGTCAGGGCTAGGGGAGTAGGGAATTGTGCCGGGGTAGTGAGAGATCCTTGGATACTTTTCAGCCAACTGCCCTGCTCTCCTTTCAGTCATTCGACATCTGTGGCCGTGTGGGCGGAGTTAGGAAAGCCCTGAAGCTTCTCTGCACCTCTCAGGTGAGTTGGGCTCCACTGAGATCATAGAAACCAGGAGGTAGAACAGCAGTGGCCCCTTGCTCACCCCACAGAACTCGCAGTGTCCATAGCTGAGTTTGTCTCTCCCCTTCCTCAAACAGAACTATGGAGTCCGGGCCACCGGGCAGCAGTGCACAGAAGCCGGCGATATCTGTGCCATCTGTCAGGCTGAGTTCCGAGAGCCTCTGATTCTCCTGTGCCAGGTGAGCAGAGCTTGTGCGGGGCCATCGGAGACCAAGACCAGGGGACAGCAGGACCCTTCCACATGACCAGTCCTCCAGCCTCTGGCATGGGTCTTTGGGGTCAATCTGGGCAAAACTGGAGTCAGCCAGACCGGGTTCAAATCTCAGCTCTGCCTCTTACTTGCTAGGTGGCCTTGGGCAGGTTACTTCTCTAATCCTTGGTTTCATCAGTAAAATTTAGAAATGCCAAATTTAGTATGATGTCATGTCAGAAGATCCTGAATGCAAATTTCAGTGGCATTCTTGATCCTGGGGTGGTTCACTCCATTTTCCTGAGCCTTCGTTTTTCTCATGTAGAAAATGGGCATAAGCCGGGCTCAGTGGCTCAGCCTGTAATCCGGCACCTTTGGGAGGCTGAGGTGAGTGGATTGCCTGAGCCCACAGGTTCGAGACCTGCCTGGGCAACTTGGCAAGACCTCATCTCTACAATAAGTCAAAAACTAGCTGGGCGTGGTAGTGCGCGCCTGCAGTTCCAGCTACTTGGAAGGCTGAGGCGGAAGGATCGCCGGAGCCCAGCAGGTCGAGGCTGCGGTGGCCGGGAGCGGCCACTGCACTCCAGTCTGGGCCACAGAGTGAGACTCTAACTCAAAAAAAAAAAGAGAAAAAAGAAAATGGGTATCATAATAGCACCTACTTCATAGAACTATTATTATTATTATTAAAATCATCTATGGGAAAAACTAAATGGGAATTATTCAGCCATAGAAGTAGCTAGTATTATTATTATTATCACTATAATGATTACTACCCTTTGTTTTCATTATTAGGCGTGGGTCACCAACCCACGGTGGTAAATACTGCTCAATCCCTTTTAACTCCCTAAATGTGACCCTTCCCCTCCTCCTGACATTGGGCTAGGTGTCAATCCAGCAAATATGTATTGGGTCAAAGGATCCTATCAGGCACCAAGGAGGAGAGACAGAGGGCACGCCAATTCTGTCCCCTCCTCTAGAAGCTCCTTGGGGAGACAGACACATACATAAATAACTATGAAACAAGGCAGGCGGTGATAAGTGCTGTATAAGAGAGATTCATGTAGCGTCCTGGGGGACCGGGCAGAGAGCAGTAAGTTCTAAACTGGGGAGGCTTTTTAGAGACCAGAAGGCATGACAAGGAATATAATCTGGGCTTGGTGGCTCACCCTGTAATTCCGCGCATTGGGAGGCTGAGGTGAGTGGATTGCCTGAGCCCGTGGGTTCGAGACCCGCCTGGGCAACTGGGCGAGACCTCATCTCTACAATAAATCAAAAATCAGCCAGATGTGGTAGCGCGCACCTGTAGTTCCAGCTACTTGGAAGACTGAGGCAGAAGGATCGCCGGAGCCCAGGAGGTCGAGGCTGCGGTGGCCGGGAGTGGCCACTGCACTCCAGTCTGGGCGACAGAGTGAGAGAA